TATGTTACTAAGGATTAAAACTCCTTAAAGTGATCAGTAAAATTTCAAAATCCATCCTAGAGCTGCTGCAAAGACACTAATGAACCAGGTGCTAGTTCTGTGCCGGTGCTTAGTTGGTTCCAATCTGAGAACCGGTTGGTTTTCCATCGGCAAGGAGCCAAGTTAGAGCCATACGTCACTGCAGCCGTTTACCAAACAAAGCTTGTGCTGCACGGAAGTTCACACAGGACTGCAGACTGACTTTTTAACCAGTGTGACCAACTTTCTCATTTGTTTGCACCTTGTCACAGGCAAAACATATGACCTGCTGAACATTTTCTTATTGATAGACGCTATGATTTACAGATGTTCCATGAACGCTCCACATAGCAGGCTGCTAGCTGCTGTTGGTGGCTGCGGTGCTCAGACCGGTGTGTGACCAAAGATGACTTTAAATAGAATAAACCAGGAGGTTCTGATGTCAGATTTGTCCAAGGTGAAACTGAGTGATTTCTTCTCATGCAGTCTTTTCTATGAACAGAATGCACAAAGGTCCGTTTTTCACGAGAAGACCTCATTTCTAAGCGTAAACACCGCAGCACACTGAAGTTATAAAAGTCCCGCTTTCCACCACTGTGGTGCTGCTGGTGGGACACAGTTGGACCGGATTTCAGGACGCAACAGTTTGTGCAAAACTTCCATGTGTCCCGGCACTCATTCCAGTACCTCTGTGATCGGACCAGAGACGACACAAATCACCTCTTGTGTGTCCCATTCATCCATCGGTCTCGGTGGTCCTGATAACCCGCCCCCAGCCCCTGACGGTGCTTAGCTCTGGCCCAGCAAAGAGTTGGTGCTCGCTAAGCACCAGTTTTGAGAGCCTGGAGCCGGTGCTTAGGTGGTGGAAACACAAAGAACTGGTGCCAAGTCAGGCTCTAGCACAGAACCAGCACTGGAACCAGTTTGGTGGAAAAGGGGTATCAGAGGAGTGATGGTAGCATCAATGGAACCGTGTCCTGTCTGTCTTTTTTTGTGTTTTATTATCCTTACTAACTATTGTTCAGGGCTGCAAGGTGGCTCAGCTGGTTAGCACTGTTGCCTCGCAGCTAGAAGGTCGCCGGTTCGTGACCTTTCTGCGTGGAGTCTCCATGTTCTCCCCGTGCAGCGTGGGTTCTCTCCAGGTTCTCCGGCTTCCTCCTACAGTCCAGAAACATGCTGAGGTTAATTGGTGATTGTAAATTGTCCGTAGGTGTGAATGTGAGTGTGCTTGGTTGTCTGTCTCTAAGTGTAGCCCTGTGATAGACTGGTTACCTGTCCAGGTGAACCTGCCTTCACCCTGAGTCAGCTGGGATAGACTCCAGCCCGCCATGACCCTGGTGAGGATTAAGGTGTAGAGATGATGGATGGATGCTCATAATTCTGACACTCCTGGCAGGACATCTTCCCCTCATGATCACGTATAATATCTTTCAAAGCCTCTTTACTTTCCCTTTAGTGCTGACATCAGGGTATAATGTTTGCTTTTCAGTGCTAATAAGGGTAATTTTAACATGCTAGCAAAACATAACAATAAAAACAACATTAAACATCACTCCCACGACACAGCGGCGTGTTGACGTTGTCGTCGAGTTGGTATTCACCTCATTCATATTTTATTCCAACGCCGAGCGCAGCTGTTGAAGTTTGTATTGAGTGTTATTTTTCAGCCCGTGATGCAGTATTAGATGGTTGTTGCAAAGTTTATAATTATTCATGGGGGGAAAAAAAGAGCAGCTAAATATTATAATTACAGTTTATTACAGCTGACACCTGCAGAATGTGTCGCAGCCAGACGATGAGACGTGAAAAAACTATGGGACAGAGTTAAGCTGGACAGCATCACTTCCTGTATAGAGTAACGGACGAAACACAGCGCTGTCGTGTTTTTACTTCTACTCTCTCGTTTAACACTTCTTCTTCCACTTTAGTTTAGACGAGGGTGTTTCCAGCTGATAGGTCTTCTCGGTTTAGCGGTGGGGGTGTTGCTTCGCTAAGAGCCGCAGCGTGTAAATGACAGCTGGAACCCAGGCAGGTACGAGCTGTGGAAATCTTGGCAGCGCCTTCGGAATATGTGATGCTGTTTATAAAGAAAAGGAAGTTTAGGTTTTGCGAGTGTATTCACGGCGCGTCAGCCGGAGTGAAGCGCTGAATGTGTAAATGTGACAAGCTGCTTTTATTTCCATCTGGTTTCGTCGTATCCAGACGAGAACCGAGCTCAAAAACATTTAAGGTGGTTTTTGTTGTTGCTGAAGGAGCAGTTGGCCGGCTCGCTTTGTCTCCACGTCGGTGATACGATGTGATGACGGGCCGTTTGGTAAAACAAGAGGTTGTTAAGCAGGCAGCTTGTTGACACAGAGAACTCCCTCCTCTTATCTGCAGGACTTTCTGCGAAGGAAACTAATTAATATATTAAATAGCATAAATAAACCAGCGCGCTCATGAGTACAGTAGCAGAATGCATGTCAGCACAAATTACAGACACACACTGCACAGGAATCGTTGGATGCTATTTGTAAACACAACGACGCCTCGACACCTACGGAAGCACAAACACACCTCGAACCACGTTTTCCAGAACACACACTAACCAGTTCACCACCGGCAGCAGCAGCAGCAGCGACTCCACGACCTGAAGACCGGATCAGGACTGTGAGTAACTTAAAGGTTTGCAGGCCTCTAACTGGATGCACCAACTTGCAAAATGGAGTTTGCAGGCAGGTTGCAGCACTGAATTACCACGAGCACCAACGTATACATACAG